AAGTTCTTCCGCGAGGACAACGCGGATGGTGGTAAGGCACACGTCATTTGTCCTTGCATTACCCTTACCCACTTCAGATGTTGGGTCATCGTGCGCCAGTGTGCATGACTTCTCCCTACTCGTCTGTTCCGGTCTGGAGCCGGCTGTTGTCTACCGGTGAGTTGTGGGCTTTGAGAATGCATGGACGCTCCTTGCGTTCGTTCACTCCCCGCGTCTATCGCGCAGGTTTCCCTTCCTCAACCGCGGTCTCACCCCCACGCACCGCGTGGAGCTGCCTCGGAGCGCTGACTTCGATCACGTGAACTGCGCGTGCGTCGGTGACCTTGACTTCGACGGGCGGCCGGAGATTGTGGTGGGCACTGTTGGCGAACAGCTCCTCTTTTACCGACGGGTCGAGGCAGCACAAAATGCCGACAGTGGGCGTTACGAGTAAGTCGCCCTGTTCAGCCAATCACCGCTCCCTAGGCTCGCGTACAGACATCGAATGGCGGGTCCTGTGCACAGCCTCCTGTATGGAGGGGACTTTTTGGGCGACGGACTGAAGTGCGTGGCTGTGCTTACATCCCAGGGACTCCATCTACTCCAGTGTAGCCTCGACTTTTGCATCGACCTTCTTGCCAGCAGACTTGACTCGTGCGATGCAGAGACGCTGATTTGTTGATATTTTGCACTGCATTTGTGGTATAAATGTGTTTGAAAATGTGCAATTTCCAGATTGGTTGCCTTGATTGCATTGATTCTATGTTTCACTGTCGAATATCACTGCAAATGGGTTAGAAAGCGGATGAATTATGGCCATTACAAGTGCTCTGTGAAAGTTGGCATGCTATTGAATTCGTTAGGCCCATACGGAGAGCACACGAGTAATTTGACGAAAAGACACAACTGAGGTGGACTCATTAATAGTTTGGAGTTAGGCCTGCAGCTAAGTTCAACCTCTCGATTCACCCTTTCCATTCCTCTAGACTATTCCCTTTTCTGATCTACACTGACCAGATCGCCGTGACATCCAGCAAGCAATGAAACCAGCAAATCTTACGGAGGGCATGAAGATAACTTAACAAAAGGACAAAACTGAGATAACCTCATCAATAGTTTAGAGTTGGGGGTGGAACCAAGTTTAACCTCTCGATCCCTCTTCTTTAATCGTCTAGACTATTCCTTTCACTAATCTCCATGGAGAATGAAAGGGAAGCAAACAGGCATGACACTGACCAGATGGCAGTGACATCCGTGTGAAGTCAGCAAATCTTACGCTTACAGTTGAACCCTGAGGGATTCATGTACCCCAAGTGCAGTGCTGGCATGTGGTGATGTGGCAGACCACCTGCAAGGGAGCCTAAAATTGAGCCAGACGATCTGCAAGCATCCTGTCAAACTTTGGTTTTTCAATTTGCTGTCTTCTCGGCCTTTCGCTTGATATACTTGCACGAATTTCATCATGAGGTGCTACCTTAATCACATCATGTCACTCTAATTGAGGTGGCACGCAGGCGTCATATGCATTGTTTGCACGATATTAGTCACTTCAGGTGTTTCTTCTGTTTCCTCATCGCTGTTATTTCGATTGTGGTCCCTTTAAAAGTTCACGTGTTTCTTATCTCGTTCAGTTAATACGGATGGTAGACAGATAATTTAAAACTGACTGAACGGATCATTTATAAATGACAATAGTGGGGTTTGATGTAGGGACCCGTCGGCCAGTTGGATCGTGGGCGACATCTCAATGCATCGCCTAGGTAACGACGCACCTGCACTCGTCACTCAACACGGCTCCTCTCTCGATCAACAGCAACAGGAGTAAACGGATGGAAACAAACAACACAATTACCACACTACACTGACTTCAGTACACAAGCACTTGTAATGAAACTGTTGAGGATGTACTCGACATACGTGTCATCTTCAGGCACCCCACATGCTGCGCCCGTGCGTGGTGGCGTGGCTGAACGTGTGCGAAAGAGCCACAGATCAAGGACGGATGGATGAGCGGCGTCGATGGCTGCTCTTGTCACCAATCATCGACGCAGTGATTGATGCGTGGGTTTAAGTGCACAGACCCTCTAGTGAGTACTCGCGCACTCATTGCAAGATGACGAAGTATCGGAGATGCGCATTTTGTTGCCAAGCACACACTCCGTTCCAAATAAAGTTGCATACATGTCGTTTGGGTGTGATTACACTACGTGCCTTGGAAACCATGTCAATAGCTGGTGGGTTGACATTGGCAAAGGTGCAAGACATGCGCATCTTCATTTTCAGATGACGCTGGCTCGATGACCAAACCCGATGAATTTCTAGAATGGAGGCCATGAAGGCATGCACTCCGTTGGCCAATTCGCAGTGACTATTTTGCCCCAAAGCAAGCAGAAAAGTCGGTTTGGCTCTAAGGTGTTCGCGAAACCCCAATATTCATTTCCACAGGTGTTCGTGTGGAATGCCACAATAGTTAGCAGACTAGGCAGAATGAACTCGAGAACGATTAGCAATCGAGCTAGTGAACCTCCCATTAAATACGCATAGTTATCCAGCGCAGTGAAATTCGACAAGAGAATGGCGGTTGCATGGATTTTAACTGACAGATGCCTAAAGGTAATGGCGAACGTGGAAAAGCGATTGAAAGCGTGACCGTCGCACTCTTGCCAAGTCAAACGTGCCTGCGAATTAAGCTATTGGGGAGGGTTCAATCATGGCCTTTGCGATCGACATGCTGCAAGGAATATTACAACACCCCAGTTGTCTCACCCAAATGGTAGGGCAGGTGCCATTCACAAACTTCAGTGTTTGCCAAACCGGGTCAAATTAAATGTCTGAGGCGATCAGGTGTTGCTGTTAACACAACCCGGAGTCCACATTACGTGGTTTTTATGTGCAGCCACAGCACAGGGGCAGAACAAGGAGCCTCGCTGATTGTCATTCAATTACCCTAATTTTCAACTCATCAATGTGGAGATGGTAACTGCCATGAGGTCGGTGATGGAGGCATTTGCCCCTAAAATTGGTCTTCTACTCCCCATTTATAGACAAGGGATTATACCGATAAATTAATGCACGTCCATATGAATATGATGGGCGTTGATGGTGACAATATTCATTTAGACACAAATGTATGCACTCGACAAACGTGGCTACTTCAAGCACGCCACGCCCTGAGCTCGTACATGGTGGCGTGGCGGGATATCTGCGTGAGAGCCAAAAATCGAGGACGGATTGATGAGTGACCTCGATGGCTGATCTTGTCAACATTCATCGACGCAGTGATTGATGCGTGGGATAAAGTGCACAGAATCGTCAGTGAGTACTCGCGCACTCATTAAAAAATGCAGAAAAAGTAACGAGTATTTTGCTGCCAAGTAAAAATCACCACATCCACTGTTGCGAGATCGGGTTAGTGTGAAATCTTACTCATAAGCAACACAGGGCGACTGGTTGTCCGTGTGTGCTCAAATTGAACATCATTATCTGCAGCAAAACAATCGGTATGCTTTACACGATCATGCGTTTAGGTGACGGGACTGCCTGGAAACGTGCACGAGCTCGTATGGTTGACCTCTGCAGAGTTTAACGCACACAGAAGCACATGCTTAAGAAATTGGGCCGAAAATGGTAATGGTTGAAACGGGATAAAATGTGGGAATTGATTTCTTCAACCCTGGGGCCGCAGAATTAGGGAAAAGTCTACTTTTCACGGTTCTCGTACGCACAACAATAAACTTGGTTGACCTGTCTGGTAAACGGTCGTGTCTTGTACTCGCCGGTCTTCTTTATCTTTGCAGATATCAAGAAAGCGTAATCGGATTAGATTCAAGGCAGTGGCCCTGGCGCGATTCGAGTCACCGACATGAGGTCCTCTACAGTGCTAAGACGACGATTAAGTGGAAAGACCATGTGTGAGCAACCTGTCATATCTATCGCGTCGGCTGGTCGAAGAAGTTTACTACACACATTCACACAATACGGACTTAGGAAGAACGCATTTTCCGATCAGCTTCTCAACACGGCAGGCCTAAACGCTCCAGCAGGCGTAATCCTATAGGGGTGAAATCAATTTCACAACGTCCTCGAAAGTTGTCATGTTACTTGCATTTCAGAGTAATAAATGAACGTGGCTTAATACCTTCAGGAGGATGATTACTTCTGAGATGGTGCTAATAGTTGTGTGACCTAAGCACGTTCTCGCACAGATCCACATTGATTATGTCTCTCAACAACCAAGTTCATTTAAAGCACACAGACAACCATATGCCACAAGTTGATTAGGTGGCAAGTCAACAGTCATGGTGGATGGAAGCACAATATAAGAGGTCCAGTTTGTTAAGGAACCCACCTACATCAAAAGGCAGGCGATGGCGATACAACAAATATTGTTGGTTAGCGTCTGAACCCATTCAGGATTGTGTGCTTTCCGACAACGCGTCAACTAAATACGTGATCGTGAAGATGACGAACATTTGTTTCTACAGACAATGATGTTTATTTAAAGCTCACACAGATACCAATTGACTCTGCAGTTAGTCGTATTAACAGCATGACTCTGTTACCATTCTGAACTTACTTTCTCCCCGGTTACACCGATTTTGCTAAACCGACTGCTCATTCACCCTAGTTCGTGTATTACCCGCACAGTACCCTTTTATTTCATCTCAACGTGAACCATTTGCACTTTTACGGGTTCGCATGATCGACAGCCCCAATTAATTAGCCACGCATTTATCCACAGTTGCGTGGGTAACAAGGTAGCGTATCCGAGCACGATTAAACGCAGTGGCATCGGCATGGATTGAGACTATATGCAGGATCCCACGGTGCATTAGATCAAAGCTCATTCAAATTGTCCTCAATTCAACACAGAGCATCAAGTTGCCAGTGCGTGTGTGTGGGGCCTAATTGAACATCATTGTTTGAAGCAAAATAATTGGCATACGCATGCACGACTCCGTATATGGTTGACGGGATTGCCTGAAAGCGCGCACGATTGAATGGGGTCACACGCCAAATCACCTCAGTCGTCGTGTGGCCCTCAACTACCTACCACACGTCGACGCCCTCCTCCCGAATCTCAACATGTTTCATTGCACGTCAACCCACCGTGGCTATTGCTTTAGCATGTCTGTGCTCTGGGGTCACCTCGTCACACTTTTTGTTCAATTCGAAGTTGAACACGACTTTCTTTGAGCTGATGTCTAACCCGAATTCGTATCACACATCAACTAATGAGGCGTTTCCGCAGTTCGGTTACGAGGTGTTGCCCAATGTCAATCGCGAAGCAACTCACCCCAGATCGACTCATGATTTCGTCAATGCAGTGAATTTACTCAACTTCCCTGCACCAACGACTCTCTCGACTTCACTTCCGCTGGACAATTTCCACCGATGAAGGAATGCTCCCGTAAATTACTAGCCCCACCAATTCCACACTCTTGCCCTCTCACCGCAATCACACTCCCTCCCTCCCTCTCGACTTCAAATCATCCCTTCTTTGGCCTCACAAACAGATGTCGGTTTGTGGGTCAGACGCACAGTCTCGACAATTACATCGGTCTTCTTGCCACCAGATGCGCATAGTGCAAAGAGGGGACACCCATATTGTGATGCCGCACGTTATACTTTGTTGCAAAATTGGTTATGAAAATGTATAAGTTCGAAAAAAAATACGCGTGAGGTTAAACCTAAGCAATTAGTTTAAAGTCAGTCCAGCCTATGTTTCCAGGGTTTCGTGGAATCGAGTGCTAAGCAGCTAACTCAGGTTGATAGGTCTAAGACAAAAAGGATCACTCGTTGCGGTTGAAAACATTTTGCTGCCATGTAGAGTCATGAACTCGACGTTCTGCCTTCCCTAACAGGCGTCTGTCTGGTTAGTGCAGTGACAGCACAGTTGAGCATGTGCTGTTTCAGCAGGCGCCTCGGCTAGCAAGGCTAGTGTGATCAGCTCATGTGACTTGACAGGCAATTCGAATGTGCTGCAAATAATGGACCTCATTTACGTCTCCTGCATGACTTCATGTCTGCTAATCGGCCTGGCCTTATTCGACTTCTTGCAATTCAATTGGGTTCAATTTGTGCTGAATGATTTAGAAAAACTGACGTCGAAAACACGAAACCACCATGGTTCATCCATCGACATCATGTCCAAAATATTTGAAATCAACATGTTGATCACGTTGAGAACTGGATATCTTGACTACCGCTGGTCAAAATTGCCTTCATTGACTTTGCAGTCAACACGATATGATGGTCTTCTGGTTTCTCTACCTCTTTGTGTCTACGTATTCTATTTGTCGTAACGCAAACTAGAGCATAATTCCTGCCGAAATCGAGTTGACGCTCCACTACATTCAATGAACCCTGACAGAGTCACTAATCAAATTTCCATACGGGTCCATCAGCAGGAATCTGATAGAGAAGTCAAACTGATCGACAAAACGGCCATTTTATTTTGCAGGATAGAATCATGAAAGACCTCACAGGCACAGCAGAGTAGCATGCTTCCACCATCGCACATTCACCCTCTAGCACTTGGTGTACTTTCGCTTGCACACAAAGTCGTCCAGTTTGACAGTCTGAAATGGGTAGGAGAGAGGCTTAAGCGAGCACGCATCTGCATGGAAGCGTTAAGGAGTGAGTGCAGTGTGACAGGATACTCACCACAGTCATGGTGTTGCCTTCGACGACCCTTTCCACGAGTGTGCTTCGTGGCTTGCCAACCTGGACCTGTTTCATGACGCCGTCCTCCACCGTGACGGTTGACTTGACATGTCGGTCGTCAGGCGTGACCTCGTCACACTCCTCGCCCAGTTTGAAGGTGAACTCGGCTTTCTTCATGGTGCTGTCCATCCTGATCTGGTACCTGCCATCGCCCAAGTCGGTGAAGCTGTACTTGGGTTTGAGGGTGCTGCCGATTTTGGCCATTACCGCATTCACTCCCAGTCGCCGCATCAGCTCGTCGTAGCCATCACTCTCCGTCAACTTCCAAGTACCCAGGAATGGCTCCATGATGTGTCTGCTTGAACGACTTCACACGCTGATGTGATTGTGGCAGTATCCGTCGCTTATATATACATGCAGATGCAACAAGTGATTGAGGCACTTTAGCCTCAAGAGCATCGTGCACTCAGCGACTGGGCCAATGAGCGTGCGTACCTGGTGCCTGAAGTGGGTGCAGCCAGGAAATTGGCTCCCCTTCAAGTCGCACCTAATAGCGTGTGCAACCGTTTGACATGAAGTGATTACCATGCATGAGTCAACCACCATCTTCTTGCTAGTCGAGTACGATTGACTTGACTGTAAAATGTGTTAACATGTTTGTTTGATTCGAATTTAGCGGACTGGGTTGTTTTTGACAGCAGCCGAGCCGAAAATCGGAATGCTTAAGAACTAGTGGTTGAGGTTGGATTGGACTGCGACTGATAAGGTCATAGGTTCACCAGCGACAATTGAAGTACCTGCTATGCCAAATTGCACTGCTTTCCGGTCAAAAGCCTTACTCAGAAACGTCTTCTTTGATGCTACATCAGTGTGTGCGTTGCGTCAATGCACGAATCGACGTGTACAGCAGTGACTGAGCGTTTAACGAAAATCGGCTCAGCGTCGGTGTAAAATGCGCCATCCCGACGCATTGCGGATCTCTCTAACGCGGGTGATGACTAGAGCATCCAAGTTACTCGGTGTCCTGTTTTATAGGGATCAGTCCAAACTTTGATTCAGTATCATGCTAATGCATGTGATCTTCATAGAAGACTGTCACTGTGATGCATGTTTGTTGTTTTTGCTGCGATCGACTTGTGAGGTGTGGTGTGTGACGGAGTCCGAGACTAAATCCATTGCGTAACCTCCTATGGAATCATGACAATCTTGTGTTAAGATGAGCAGAGTTATGCTATCGTGTGTAATGCATTATTGTCGTCGTGATAGCTGATCGACATGGGACATTCGACAGAATGTCCGCCTTTTCTGATAAGTGATAAACAATGAGAAGGAGTGGAGTAAATCGGAAACAAAACTCTCTTGGGGTAGTGGGTTTTTTTTGAGCGAAGTTAGACTTAAATCAGCACTTGAGGCATCTTGGTGTGCAGATAAGACTGTCGAAACGAGTGATCTTACATAGACTTAGGTGTGACTCAAGAACGGGTTCTACTGTATAGAGCAAGAGTCGTATTTTCGTCCTCGATCCTTACCACTTGTACTGTGTTATCAGCTACCTGAACCTGCTTTATGATGATTTCCGCCATCGTGATGGTTGATTTGACAGTTTAACAATACAAAATACGCCACCTGTGTTTATAACTCCAAAAAAGTATCCAGTTTTTTTGTTGAAGCCTTGACATTCCAATGTAACCCCTAATGTAAGTAGAACATATGTCAGGTTAGTGGAGAGGGATAACAACGATAACTAAAGCACCGATTCATCTTAGTCACTTTTTGACAACTTTAGTTTGCCCTTGGCTTCATCATGACAGTGTGGCGGATTCGTATTGAAACTCCTTTACGAGTGATTTTTAAAAAAAACGTTTTGACGTCATACGCCTGCTCATCATCCTACTCCTCCTCTCCTTGTCCTTCTCACAGAATTTCGAAGGCACTATCAAAAGCCAATTGCCGCTTCGTCCTTCCACGTCTAATTGTGCAGCCCTCCTCTATAGAAACTCGGTGTCGGAATTAAAAGATCACGGCGTGGAAATAAACGAGCAGAAACGGCTTCGAGAAAATCGTGGTCACCGGGAAGTTGAGGAAATTCATGAGTATCGACGAAATCATGAGTCGATCTGGAGCGAGTGACTTCGCGATCGATATTGGGTAACACCTTGTGGCCCAACTACGGAAACACCGCATTGGTTGACGTGTGGTACGAAATAAAGTTGGAAATCAACTCGAAGACGGTCACGTTCAACTTCGAATTGAACAAGGAGTGCGGCCAGGTGACCCCAGAGCGGAGATATGCTAAAACAACCATCTCAGTGGGCTGACGCGCTATGAAACATGTTGAGATTCGCGAGGAGGGCGTCGACGTGTGGGAGGCAGTGTAGGGTCACACTACGACTGAGGTGAGTTAGCCTGTGACCCCATTCAATCGTGTGCGCTTTCAGGCAATCGCGTCAACTATATACGGAGTCGTGCAATGGCATAGGGCTTATTTTGCTCACGACAATGTTACTCTTTTAGAGCGCACACTTAAAGACCCGTAGATACTTTGTGTTGAGTTGATGACAATATGAGTGAGCTTTGACTTAACACACTGTGGATCCTGCTTGTAGACTCGAACCGTGCCACTGCCACTGCGTTTAATCCTGCTCGGATACGCTACCTTGTTTCCCAAGCAGGAAAAGAAGAGAACAGAGGATAAGACAAAATCGTTCAGTGACATCAATTAAGCAATGTTGTGCAGTTATATCACTCACGGATACGTGTTAAATTAATGACAATTTGGGTGACATTTGATCAAACCCGACCATTTAACTTTGGATCTGATTATGTGCACTTGGCGGGTAAATATTACTGCCTATTTCTACGTCTCATAATGAGTGCGCGAGTACTCACTGAAGATTCCGTGCACTTTAACCCACTCAGCAATCAGTGAGTCGATGATTGGTGGCAAGAGCAGCCATCGATTCCACTCATCAACCCGTCCTCAATCGCTGACTCTCTCGCACACATTCTGCCACGACACCAGGCACGAGCGCTGCACGTGGCATGCTTAAAGATGCCACGTTTGTCGAGTACGTCCTTGATAGTTTCATTGCAAGTGCTTGTGTACTGAGATCAGTGTAATGTGGTAATTGTATTGTGTGTTCCCTTCCGTTTATTCCCGTTGATGTTGATCGAGAGAGGAACCTTGTAGCGAAACCGATTGAAACGAGTAAAGTGAGAGACGTGTGCAGATGAGTCATTGCACACGTGATGTACTTGGATGCCGCCTGCAGTCCAATTGGCTGAACGGTCCTAATACTAAACCCTAGTTATGTTACTTTGTGAAATAAATCGTCTGGAAAAGGCATATGCGATGACCTCTAGTCCATCTTCCGGCCTAAATTCGCTTTCAGGTTAACATAATCAAATACCGTGACTAAACCTGGATGGACGCTTAAACGTGGAAAGAATCTTATTACCCTAATCACTTTCGAGCCTGGTGAAGTAGTAGGCCGATCAAGACAATGTCTTGTGTGGCAATCAATCAAATCCAACCAAATGGCTAATTCCTATACCAAGGCAAATTCTAGGAAATGTCATAGGAAATGTGAAGAGACTTAACCGAAGTTGGAAATGAAATAGTGCAAAGGCTGCCACGCCCGTTCTCTTCCCCTAATTTATAAGTGTTGCTTCGCTGATACCGGATTTGTCGAGATGCCAAAATGTGCTCCCGAAGCAGGGCGTGATTCAAAACATCAAAGTCATTTAGGCTTCCATCAATCAGAATGTCATTTCAGATATCTGAAGACCTTATTCAAATCAAGGTTTCATTTGACTTAGCAAGCACAAATCCCACTTCAACCACAAGGCGTTTCTCCCTTCCTAAATCGAGCCTAGTTATCACCATTCTCGTACGTTTTAATCTTCGCGAAGTTGAGACGACTGCATATTTTGGATCAAGAACCGGTTTGAAAGATCAGAAGAATGTCATGAGTGGGCAGTTAATCTACTTCAGCCTCGTGGCAGAAGAAGGTATAACTTCTCGAAAGTGCTGATAATCTTACAACTGAAGTCGCCTCGTAGAAGACCATTAACTGTAACGATAAATACTACACAAGACATTGCGGCAGTCCGATTCACCTGATTTAGCAGGTGAACCAAAGACACTACCAGTTGCAGTCCAATCCAACCTCAAGCACTAGTCCTTGAACATTCCGATTTTCGGCTCGACTGCTGTCAAAAACAACCCAGTCCGCTAAATTCGAATCAAACAAACATGTTAACACATTTTACAGTCAAGTCAATCGCACTCGACTAGCAAGAAGATGGTGGTTGACTCATGCATGACAATCACTTCAAGTCAAACGGTTGCACACGCTATTAGGTGCGACTTGAAGGGGAGCCAATTTCCTGGCTGCACCCACTTCAGGCACCAGGTA